CCAGACCAGCTGGACACAGTAATAGCAGTGTAGAATGGTAGTTCCTTACTGTTTGCTTTGTATAAAAATATTTTATATTTTTATAGTATTTGTTCAAATTGGGATATTTTTTTAAATTACAGAGAAGAGAAAGGATTTTAGCAATGGCTACATATGCAAAATTCCCATGCCTATCATAGCTACTGCAGACAAATCTGCCTTTATTGTATCTGTTTGCATAAATCATCCGGAAAATGTTCCCAGATGCACCATCAAATAGAAAATTTTAATTACAAGCTAACTTTTGACACCTTTATTCCCCTCATTTTCTCACCAAGAGTCTCATCTCAGTTCCCCCAGAAAGCTGCCTCTGTTTCCAAAATGTAGAAATTAGAAGCAAATAAACATATGTAGTCTTTACACTTTGGGGACTTCTTACTCAGTGTTACCTTTGAATATATTTACGCTCCTATATATAGCTTTCTTTACCACATGTGTGACCTGATTCATTAATGAAAAAAATGTGTCACACCTAACAACTGGTTTGTAAACAACCACCTGGTATGTTTAGATGCTTTCACTTTTTATCTATTTGCCTTCACCACTACCCAAACCATGGGTGTCTATATACTGTCTCAGGATAAAATGCTTTGTATAACGTATAAACCAATAATTCTATTTTTTAAATACAGTTACATATGTTTGGATGCATGAAAAAATTAAAGAATCTCAAATCACATTAGAAAATTGACTCTTCGGATATAACAAGCTTTGGTCTTCTATGTTTTAGAACAGTGTTGGTGAACCTTTTCGGCATCCAGTGCCGAAACAGGAGTGCATGCGCACTTGCGTGGGAGCACCGGAAACTGGAAGATCAACTCCACTAGCGTGCACACATGGGAGCACCAGAAACTAAGGAAGAGCAACTTCCCGGCACACACACACACGGGAATGGCAGAAACCAGAAGAGCAGCTCCCCGGCGCGCATGCGGAATGCATGCTGGCCACTTGGTCTTCCGGTTTTTGGTGCGCATGTGCGCATGAAGACCAGCTGGCCGGCTGGCGTGCCTGGAGAGACGGCTCTGCATGCCCCTTCCAGCATGTGTGCCATAGGTTCGCCATCATGGTTTTAGAATATAATTGCAAATTTTAGAAATACTTTTAAAATATGTTCAGAAAAAAATGGCAGTTTGGCTTTGTATTGATCACACCCATATTCTGGAAATCCTAAAGAAAGATTGGACTAAGTTCTGCAATTTCCTTCACAGCATATTCCTATCAAAGTTGGGAAGCATCTTGTCTTCTTTAGAAGGAAATATTTTTCTTTGTGTAGTAAAAAAGCCCCCAGTGCTTTAGGAGGATATGTGTAGAGCCGCTTCATTCCATTTTTTTTTTGTACAGTTTTGTTAAACAATTGCTTTTAGTTTTGAGGGATTATTTTCAACCTCAGACGGAAAGGACACTTGTATAATGTCCTATCTTCCCGTAGCTTTGAAGTCCTTGAAAGTCTACACTTTGTATGCAGCAGGCCAGACTTTAACCATACACTTAGGTGCTGTCTTTTATGCTACAGATCAACACTGTGGGAAAATGTGTGAAGGGGATATTCTTTTGTAAGTACCCTGAATTAGTGGGCATTAGCGGAATTGTAAAACCTCAAATATCTCCTTTTCCCTGAGCTGTACTATAACATGCAGGAAAGAATGTTCACACAATGGAAATGTATCTTCCTATTAAAAAGCAAACAGATTTCACATGGGCACCTAGTATGTCAGGAAGGAAAGCAGGGAAAAAATTTTCTTCTCCTGTACAACAATGACAGTGCTAGTTGTCCCTGTGAATTAATGTTCATGCTACGATAACAATATTCAAAAAAACATAGTCCCCAACTGCAGTTTGAAATTGGACGCTTGGAGTGAGTTAGTGAAAAAAGGGAAAAAGAGCATTATGTATAACTGAAGCATTTCTCTTTCCCTTGCCATGTAAGGTTTGAGTTTAATAAACGACATTAAAAATAATCAGGACAACTCCCTCTTAGCTAAGTAATTAAGCAAAGGAAGGAGAGAAAGGAAAGGGAAGAAAGAAAGAAAGAAAGAAAGAAAGAAAGAAAGAAAGAAAGAAAG